AAGTCAGGCTTTCTTCTCATCTCATTAGACAAGCATGTACACAACATTGGTTTTGCTACAGGGCTTGTGAGTGCCCTCTGACAGCCATTAGACTGACAGTGTCCGAGCGCTGCCTCCCAGCTCACCTCCCGCCTTGCTGGCAGTGAGCTGCCAACTGAGCACCTGAGGTTTAAGGAGGCTCAAACTCAGGATTTAGATTAAAAAAAAAAAACAACTTCCAGCAAGTGACTTCCTCTAGGACTTGCAGTGGCTGGACAGGCTCTGAAGCAGGGTATTGAGAGAAATGTAACGGTGTCTGACTTCTCTCAGCACTCAGATTCATACTGGCAACAGACACTCCCTCCCTCAGTGATTCCTTTTAAGTTTAAAATTAGCAGCAGGGAAAAGCAGGCTGTGCGAGTCTTCAGTGTTTTCATACTGGGCAGTGACATATGACAAGCAAGGTTTGTCGGTCTGGAGGTGCAGTGTCAGATGGCCTGGACACCCCCCATTGCTTCCTTGGGCGACTTCTGAGAGAAGAGCCCGTTCCCGCTCATCCCATCCCTTTTCCACTCGCCTCTCTCAGTGATGTTGGCCAACTTCAGTGTATTTTTAAGCACAATTTCCTGCTCTTGATGGAACCACCATCTTGTTGGATCATACTAAAAGGCCCCTTTAGACAGCTATGCCACTTGGGATCCTACAGAGGTTGCAATTGTCCTTTTTGGCCCTTGTTGCTGACCTCTGGTGCCACTGTTGAGTTATCAGGACGTGGTACTGTACAATACCTGGTACAGTCAGGTGCCAAGAGATTAAAGCCTGGCTAAAACTCTTAGGTGAATTGTAACTCCTGTCTGATCTGCCATTTGTAGCTTCTCTTCTCCTCTCCCCTATCCCACAGCTCAGCTCTAGATGGGCCAAGATGCCCCCTTCATGGGGTCTTGGTCTGGTGTCTGCTGCCCCTCCTGAAAGGCTTGCTGGCAAGCTCTGTTCCTGTGGCTGCCCAACAGCCCCAGCTGCGTTCACACACAGTACAATGCTGGGAACAAAGTGAGATAAGGAGCAAGCCCAGAACCAGCACGCGAGGCAGGCAAACAGCCTTTAGGAGTCCTGTTACCGGCTGTGTGCAAATGTTACTAGATGTCCGAGATAGACAAGCCCTGGAGGTATGTTTACAGAGCGACCTGTTTGGGCAAGATTCGAGCTAGAGCCAGTGAACTGCTTTGCCAGATGTCCGCGGTGACGGATACTCAACTGCAAGGACAGTCACACTCCCTCCTGCAGCTCACTGGGGACAGAAGACTCGCAACCATGCATGACCAGGGATTCCTTCACTAGTCTCTTCCTCAGCGCCAGCAGCCCCTGGTTACTGGCACTTATTTTCACCTCAGTCTTGCCGTGGCCCCATGGCTATTGCTGGACACGGCTAAAAGCAGATTCAAGGTGAGAGGGTGTTTGTATTGCTTTGTACCTAACGTTTATGATTGTCTTCGGGGGCCACACATGACTATCAGACATGCGTGAGTGGCTGAGGCTCTCTTCCTCTGTCACTGTTGGAAGCCCAGGGCTGTTTTCAGACTCTGCCAGGCTGGGCTGAGTCACTGCCATGCAGCAAACTGGGGCTTCCCAGGTATTTGGCACCAATTCTCCAGTCATCTGTTTAAGAGCTTTCTTAAACAAGCCAAGACTCTTTGATGCAAGCGTAACAGTCTCCTTCGCCCCCCACCTTCCCAAACAGCTTTTTGAAATCTCATCTCACTTTCAATTCCAGCTCTTCTTCCTGCAGTTTAGACTCTCCTGCACCAGCATCTGCCCTGGAGCTGTCAAGCCTAAACCCAGTTTCTTGTCAGCTTGTTACAGCATTGCTGCAGAGTCAGATCACTGCTGAAGCCCTCCAGCATCTCCACAGTGCTACTGCCAGCCTCTTGAATCACTCCAGCTCTGGGGTCCTTTGCTATATTCACAAGTGGCATCTCCAAGCATCGCTGTCCTTTGCATCTGTTTTCTGCAACCCACCCCTTTGCCCCGTGCAGCGGAATAACATGGGTCATTTGCACAGCACTTGGCCAGGGAGCAGCCAGGACTCAGTCACTCAGTTCTTAGGTCAGGCACTAAAGCTGTTTGTCTTGCAAGAGGCCTGAGGACCTGCACCATGATCACTGCAAGCCTGGGCTATGCCAGAAGGGGAGGATGGGCAGGAATCTCAGTCACAGCCTGTGGCTCCAAAGGGTCAGGTCAGAAAACAATCTCTTATTCAGGCTTTCTTTCAGAGTTGGAAAGCAGGGCATGAATGTCATGGATTGGGTGCAAGGGCACAGGAGGCTGTAGCTCACATGCTGGGAGGCTGTCACTCCATTTACACTTAACTCCCTTAGTGCCTCCCTCACCCCTGCCCAGAAAGAAGTCAGCTATGCTGCAAAGTTCAGACCCAGGCACGGCCTCGGGGCAGTTGGTACCACTTCATTGAGGGTTGCTGCAGAGGGTGCTCTTTTCCTCCCCTGCAGCACACTTCTGCCTCCTTGTCCGTGCACAGGGAGTCACTGATCTAGCTCAACTTGACCTCTAACATGGCTTTTCGGGCAGATCAGAGAACTCGCTCGACTACACAGCAGTGCTGGGAATGTGCCATCAGGTGCAGGGGAGAGCAGGACCACCTCTTGCAGAAGCAGCTTGCAGTGAGATCAGATGAAGCTTCTCGTGAAAGCATAGCCAGCGAAGGAGATTAGAGGTAAGTTACACCGCCTTATCCTATGAACTGGTTCTTTCTTATATCTGGTGCAAGTGGAGATCTGAGCTTTCAGGTGGCAACAGGTCTCAGCTGCTGATCCCCTCTTAAGTGGCTGCCCAAGTCAGTGTCCCCAGTGACAAGCAGGGTCGAACAGCAGCAGTTTATGAAGTCTGGCTACAAAAGGGTTTCAAGCAGAACTCGCCCATAAAGAGCTTCTGTTCCTAGGAATTTGTTTCCATCACACTTACAGAAATTTCATTATTTTTTCTTCCCATTGAACAGTCATAAGATTTCACTGTGAGGCCAAGAGATGCAGGAGAACAGACGAGCTGATAATACACTCATGCCTCCTGACTGTAAAAAGACAGATTAAAAATATTTTGTGTTTTGCTGCTCCTGGACTAGAGGCATTGGTGTCTTTTGCAGCACCAAATACTCCACACTGCCACAAATGGGAGTGTTATTTGGTTGTATCAAGTTGACTTACAGGCTTGGTGCGTATCCACCTGGGAGAGAGTCAGGGCAGGCAGAGCACATGCAATTGCAGTGCCTGGGAACCTCAAGCTCCTCCATCCTGCCGCAGCCAAACTACTCCCATTTGTTTTCCAGAACCTGACGGTTGGGTCAACAGTCCTGCCCTGGACCAATTCCAGGACCTGCATCCTGGGATCACGTGCCAGGTCATGGCGTGAGAGGGCCCCACTGATCCGTCCCTGCAGCTGACCCAGCTCAGCACCAGTCCCATCTTTGTGCAGGGAAGGCGATGAGGTGATTAATAATGCAGGGCAGCCTTTTGTCGAGTGCCACTCTCGCTCTCCAGGAAGAGGAGAGTCATGCTGCATTCCAGGGCATCAATAATTCAGCCAAAGGTTAGGTTTCCTCTGGGAG